TAAGTAAAGTACAACGTCATTTTTTGTCATTTTCTTATTCTCCACATAATGATGTGCTCAACTTTTGGCCCTTCCCTTCTACAAACAAAAAATAAAGATCATTAAGTGTTAAAAGAAGAAAAAATATTATCGCTACAAATGTAATTCATGACATTAAGAAACACGTACCGTACGTATAAGAATACCGTGACAATCATTATGAAAATAATCATTTTCCTTCTGCAAGTCAAGTGTGTCTACACGTGATAATATGTTATCATTATGAGGAACAATAGTACTAAATTCTTCATCTACATCTTCATATGTATCTTTGTAATTTTTGGGAGGTGTCTTGAACACAATAGACATTTTTTGATCGAGTGGGTCTGTCACGTAAAATACTTGTTGTGCTTGTGAGGCCAATATGAAGGGATCACCTTTATGGCCTAATCGTTTTAGTTCAACTAGTGTGTACCCCAATTTATCCCTTTTTACCCCTTTTTCTATTGTCAACCCAGTCACACATGAAAATTAGAATTCTTTTAAAATGATAATCTAGTACCCATATCTCTTGTAAAACACCATAATAAGTGTTTTTGGCATATGTTACAACTTCTTTACTGATGTGTGTGTCAGTTACAACAACACTAACCCCACTGTTTTGGTAAATTTTACCTTCACGAGCTTTTGTACGAAAAGTATATCCATTAATAGCATATACATCGTATTTAATAATGTTCTTATTGGGTCCATGTGAAATCCATCTCATTCTCTCTGTTATACTTTCTCTACAGGCCCCTAACTCTCTCTCTACCTGAATTGTAATTAGATTATGAATTTAAGAAATCAAGACAAAAATAACAAAGAACACAACATATTTGAAAAGAATATACCTCCTTTCGTAACCAATGACCAAATGTTTTACTATGCTCTTGTTCTAGATGTGCCTTTCGTTTAGTAGGGTGTAGATGTTCCAAAAATTTCATGTGTCGTCTGTCAATACGTTAATGTTAATATTATTATAAAAAACATACATGTAAAAAACCTTACTTGATAAATGGGAGTACTTCAGATGTATTTTGCAATACAAAGAAATGCGTTTTGCTGAATAGTTATGCAGAAATTTCTACCGATTTAGTAGCTAATACAGGAGTACCATCCGTAATAGAGCTACTATCTACACCTTTATGAATTCCACAATTGTTATGATTGTCAGGTGTAATACCAACAATATCCATCCTTTTAAGGAATTGACTAAAAAACTCAATTGTCTCTTCTACAACATTCTCTTCAGCAATGCATCCTTCTAGTCTATTTTTATTTCGCACGTGCCCCTTAATAACCTTCATATACCTTTCGAATGGGTACATCCATCTAAAGAATATTGGACCACATAATTTTACTTCCCTAGTGAGATGAACGGTTAAATGAATCATCACATCAAAAAATGATGGTGGAAAGTGTTTCTCAAGAAGACATAAGGTTACAAATAACTCCTCTTGCAACTTATCGAGCTCATCCACTATGATTTCTTTGCTACATATTGATTTGAAAAAGAAACAAAACCTTGTAATAACAACTTTGGTGGGTGGATGCATAATAGATCGAATTGTTATGGGTAAAAATTGTTGCATGAGCATGTGATAGTCATGTGATTTTAGTCCGATCAACTTCCTATCCTTTAGACTCACCAAACTAGAAAAATTAGAACAATACCCTTGAGGAACCCTTAAGTTGTATAAAGTCTCACAGAATTTGTCTTTTTCCTATTTTGTCAATGTACAACCTGCTGCGGGATGTGTTGTATTGTTCCCCTTTATCTGAGGATGCAACTCTGGTTTTAAACCATAATGAACCAAATCCAATCGAGCTTTATAACCTTCTTTCGTCTTCCCGGGAGCGTTCAAAACAGTTCCTGTTAAACTCTCACCCACATTCTTTTCCACATACATAAAATCTATACAATGTGGAACCAAATTGTCGGGCCAATACCTTAGTTGTCTATACCATATATTGAATTTCTTCCAGTATGTATTATTTTGCTGGCCCACATATGAAGTACCCAGTTGGTGTGATTTTCTTTTTTTTATTCATCTTCCCACCTCTTCCACTTGTTGCTTGTTGGATTTCTGCCTCCTTGCCTTTATTAACCTTTCCCCATTTATTAATTATAAATTTTACCCTGTTATATATTTCCTCCCCATTCATAGGTTCTGGAGAGGGTGAGAACTCTTGTTGTCCGTTGAATGCCTTCTTTTGTCTTTTGAACGTGTGATCATACGGTAGAAATCTTCTATGACAAGCATAACTCTGCTTATTCGATTCAGGGAGTCTAATGCAGTGTGTCTATTCACCACACACAACACAACCTTGAAAATCGTTGTATGGGCAACCACTTAATGTACCTAAAGCAGGATAATCATCAATAGTCCATAACACAACTGCGCGTAGTTTAAAATGCTCTTGTGCATATGCATCATATGTTTCAACTCCAAAATCAAATAATATTTGCAGAGCATCAATAAAAGGTGCTAGGAACACATCAATATCATTTCCTAGTGTTCCCGAAATCAATAACTAAAGCATGATGAACTTTCTCTTCATACACAACCATGGTGGAAGGTTGTAAATGACAGTTAAAACAGGCCAAACACTATGAATCCTATTTCCTCTATTAACATCAACCCTGTCCACCGAAATGGGTAGTCACAAATTCCTTGGTTCACTAGCAAAATCAGGATATTTGTCATCAATGGCAGCCCATGCTGGTGAATCAACTGGTGACTTAAAACTCCAACATCCACCATTCTTTCTGTTGTGTGCCATGTTAAATCTTTTGCAGTTGTCTTAGACTAGAAAAGACGCTTGAAGCGCGTAATAATTGGAAAGTACCACAAACATTTTGCAGGAATATTGTTGTAAATTTTATTTTTTTGTTCATCAACCTTCCATCTTGATTTACCACAAGTAGGACATGCTGCCAAGTCTGTGTATTCTTTTCTGTAAAGTATACAATTGTTGACACATGCATGTATCTTACTATACCCTAAACCCATTGCCCTAAATGCTTTTTTTCGCCTCATATGTACTATTGTACATTTCGTTTCCTTTTGGTAACATGTTTTTTTTATCAAAACTAATAATTTTGTAAAGCACTTATCTGATACTCCATACTTACTCTTCAAGTTGAGTAGTTGAATGATTGCAGATAACTTTGTGAAATTATGACACCCTGTGTATAGGGGCTTCTCGGTATCCTCTATCAGTTCTCTAAACTTATTAGGGTTCCTAATAAAATTTTCTTCTACAGCTTCAACCATCTCTATAGTTTCTGCAGCATCTGTTGGCATTTCTGTGTTCATGTTCGTGGAATCTACAACGTTTGACGTATCCATGTCAAAATTATGTTCATATACATAACTTTTTGGTGGTTCTTCTGTTTCTCCATGCTTATTCCAATTTGTGCATGTTTGATCAATTCCATTCCTGAATAGATGATCATCTACCACATCCACCGAATGACATATGTGGTTTACACACTTAACACATGGACAGGGAATTCTTATCTTTTTTTTGGTATCTGCAGGCTCCATATGTTTAGAAATCTTTTAATTGTGCACTGCATATTTGATAAATTCTACAACACCTTTTACATAGGTTTCTGATGTTCTATATGCTCCCATCCAAGACTTATCCATATTCAGCTTACAACAACATCAACAAGCAATATACGTTTCCTGTTTATTGACCCATTTTAACAAACAGTTGGTGTGCATAAAGAAAATAGATCACATTACTAATAAATCCAATATCTTGAAAGAAAAATACTTGTAATTTCCTGTATTAATTAAATGTAGTATTTGTACCTGTATGAATTTGATTTTGACGCATCAATTTCCAGTTGAAGAAAAAACGTAGTTGCAGTGCCTTTGTAGTTATCAGCGATTGAATCGATAAGAATTAATATTCTCTAATTTGATATATTTACGCAATGAGTCTGGATGATCAGGGACATGTGGAGAATTGATAAAAAAGTGAATGATCAGGGACATATCGAGACATTAAAAAAAATGTTGGTAATTGGTTTTGAACCCATGACACTCCAAAATATACCAATAACTACATTGACACTTACCAAGTGGGGTATCCGGTTGTTTGCAAATAATTGCTTTACCAAAAAACAAAAACATTAATCAAAAGAGAAAGGAATCCAGTAAAACCGATCTAATACAAACACAGTTAGCAGGAAATTATATAATTTTGTTTGTTTTATCATAATAACAATTAACGGACAGATATACCCTTGCTAAAACAATCTTAATCAACATATAAAACATATAATATATAAATGACTGTTATACCCCTGTGTTAGCATAAACAAAGGTTACAACTAAGTTTCAAAGTACATTGCCATCTTAATAAAAAATTATCAAAAACAGGGACAAAAATGCAACACATGGACATAATTAACATATAAAATATAGAATGATAAGTAATTACCATTTTGCCCATAAGACAATTACATTAAAACATCATCAAATATGGACATATAATATATAAATGACTGTTATACCCCTGTGTTAGCATACACACAGGTTACAACTAAGTTTCAAAGTACATTGCCATCTTAATAAAAAAAATTATCTAAAACAGGGACAAATATGACTCAGTTACAAGTTATGCAAAACATGGATATAATTAACATATAAAATTATTATGATATCTAATTCTGATGTTGCCCATAAGACATTTATATTGCAAACACCATCAAATTTGGGCATATAACATGTAATAGACTGTTATACCCCTGTGTTAGCAAACAACATTGCCTTTTTAACAACATACTATATCAAAACAAGGACATAATGTAAAACATCAAATGTAGACTTACTATATAATCAAAACAATATGACCTATAGACATAATATATATCAATTCATTAAATAAAACATATTAAGTACAAAAGTAGAGTATCATATTCACTCTATATTAATCAGAAAAAAGATTACAACATAGTTCACCTAGGCTATGTTTTTCCATGTTGCGACATTTTCTTTCGCCATGTCCATAGCATCCTCCATTTTTTCTCTTGGAATTGTCATGTTTAGCATATGTTGGATGTATGCTATTACATCATCAACCCAAGCCATTGGATGTTCTATTACAAACATGTGAATAAGCTTCTCAACACGTTTGGCTGGAGAGTTCATCAAAAAGTGTGGGAAATTGTTTGGAACAAACACAGGCCTGTGTTCAACATAGAGATGTTCAATCTCTTTGAATTCGTGGGCCCTAACTAACGTCTTGAATGGTTCCAAACATTCATCATTTAGTATTGGAACCATTGACAACCCACTGTGTTCTCTGATGGGCATATGATACTAGTTCCCCAAACTGGTATACCCAAGGCTTCTAGAAAAACGCCCAAGCAACTCCATGTCTAACAAATCGATGTTCACATGAGAAATGAAGTGAACCTTGGTCTGTTGATACGCCTTGCTTGGGTAGTCTGTAAAGAACCCACCATGGACAACGCGAATGGTGAAATGTTTGTCGTTTTCCTTCCCGTATTCAACCACCGGTTTGTTTTTTGGTGGTTCTGCACTTACACTCCAGAGATTGAATTTCGGACGGGCCCACGGATCAGCATTCATCTTATTTTCTGAAAATCGACGTATTTTTTTTCAAATAGGAAGAAGGAGTAATCGAAGTTATCGTAACCTAATGAATATGTGAGAATGACGAAATTGACATAAGCGAACGGTTTATAACGATCATCAGTCAGAGGTGAAGCGACGTCGACTGAGGCCATCACTTCTCCGATTAATTGCAGTCTAAAGAGGTGGATTTAGAACGGCGGTTATTCAGCTACGATAATGATTACACATTTTTTTATTACACATTAATACATCTAGTATTTACATTAATATGTATTATATTCATGTAAAAAACTATTTGCAACATTAATTGAATATAATATCCATACTAGCATTGTTTTTTTTATTGATAGTGTTGGTTGTGGGTTTGGACCTCATTTGGTCATGTCCATATTGTTGGTTGTGGTTTAGACCTCATTTCATCGTGTATGAGTGTTGGTTGTGGGTTTGGACCTCATTTGGTCATGTTCATAGTGTTGGTTGTGGGTTTGGACCTCATTTAGTCATGTCCATAGTGTTGGTTGTGGGTTTGGACCTCATTTGGTCATGTATGGGTGTTGGTTGTGGGTTTGGACCTTATTTGGTCATGTCCATAGTGTTGGTTGTGGGTTTGGACCTCATTTAGTCATGTCCATAGTGTTGGTTGTGGGTTTGGACCTCATTTGGTCATGTCTATAGTGTTGGTTGTGGGTTTGGACCTCATTTGGTCATGTCCATAGTGTTGGTTGTGGGTTTGGACCTCATTTGGTCATGTCCATAGTGTTGGTTGTGGGTTTGGACCTCATTTGGTCATGTATGGGTGTTGGTTGTGGGTTTGGACCTCATTTGGTCATGTCCATAGTGTTGGTTGTGGGTTTGGACCTCATTTGGTCATGTATGGGTGTTGGTTGTGGGTTTGGACCTCATTTGGTCATGTCCATAGTGTTGGTTGTGGGTTTGGACCTCATTTGGTCATGTATGAGTGTTGGTTGTGGTTTGGACCTCATTTGGTCATGTCCATAGTGTTGGTTGTGGGTTTGGACCTCATTTGGTCATGTCCATAGTGTTGGTTGTGGGTTTGGACCTCATTTGGTCATGTATGGGTGTTGGTTGTGGGTTTGGACCAAATTACGCCTACTAGACCATATTATTATTTTTGTTATATAAAAATACTTTTCCCTTGTATATATAATTTTTAATTTTATATATTTTTTATTTCAAATAGTCATAAATGTTTTTCCAAAAAATAAATTGTTAACTTAGAAGGACCAAATATGTTATATTTATATTCTTACCAAATAAATCATACTAATTTTTGAAAATGCACGACATGTTTCCAAACCACGATTTTTTCTTCTAATCATGTGGGATTACTATGAGATCAAAATTTGAAACACATTTGAATCTGTCAAACGAATTTAAACAAAAACTAATGAGAGGCAAATATTTTTTTGTATGGTTTTTGGGCTCCAAATCAAAGCGAGAAATCTTCATCTATCACACCGCCAAAACTATGAAGATCAATCCATCGGATGAAGGAAATCCCGGTAATTTTTGGTAACCTCCATCAATTTAGGACCTCTTATATCATTTTAATATTTAATAGATTGTCATTTATTCCACTATTGTTTTGTTTAGCGTTTGGTTATATCCCAGAAGGATCATACTTCAGTTCATCATTCATCAAGCTTTCTAGTGTAAGTATATTGTTTGTGTACGTATAGTTTCAATGTTATTGATTGTATTGATCACAGATCATGCATAACAAGAATTTTGATTCTTCATATTGGTGTGCTTCTTGCACACAAACTATTTGATGAAATGTTTATGTGAGCAATTGTCTGTAATATTATTTGTTTATACATAATCATTAAACTTATAAACAATCAAACTTATTTTCAATCTGTTTTTGTCAATAGAAGAATCATGGAGGTTGACAAGGAACAACATGAGGATATCCCTGAATATAATACAAAATATGAGCTTGATGATGGAAACCAAGAATATGATTCGCCTACAGAGAATGGTGAAAGTAAAGACATTCACTACAATAGCCAATTAGATTCGGAAGAAGAAATCCACAAAATAGTTCCTTCAAAATTAGATAGGAAGAGGGGCATGACTCGATTGCCAAAACTGAAGACTGAATATGTCAATTCTGGTGGAAAAAAACGTGTCAGGTTTGATGAATTTGGTAAGTTTACAGGGAAGAATAATGCAGTATTTGTTAGCTATTTGGGTGATCTTGTCCACGAGAAGGTGGGATTAAGTGCTCTTTGCTGGAAAAAAGTTAAACCGGAAATGAAGGACAAAATATGGGAAGAGATAACAGTAAATATTTTCTTCAATTTTTTAATCATTATAACATAATATATGTAAAAATCAAGTTTTAAATACTAACATTCTCATTGTTTTTTTAGTGCTATTTTGAGGTTCATGAAAGTGGAAAACAATTTGTGATGAATAGACTTGGTATTCTTCTATGGAATTTCAGAAGAAAGTTGTATGCAGATTACATCAAACCATCTAGGCGATACCGATATGCTTGATAAAATCCCAGTTCGTTATCGTGCACTAATCACTGAACAAGATGATTGGAACAAAGTTGTGACTTATACACAATCTCAAGAGTTTCATGTTAAAATCGTTTTTCAAAACTTATTCATTTATTTATCATAATCTGGGTTCTAAAAGTTCGTGACAAATTTGTTACTTTTAATTCACAGAATGTGTCACAAAGGACTATCAAAGGGAGAAAGATGTCAAAGTATGATCATCAGATGGGACGAGGGGGGTATACAACTCTTAGGAGGAAGTTGGTAAGCTACATTAACTTCATATCATTTTATTTAACATGCTTTTGTTTCATATTCTTTATAATTTAATTGTTTTTTATCAAGATTGAAGAGAATGTGATTTCGAAGGAGGAAATTCCCCCAAGGTCAGTTATGTGGTGTAAAGGGCGTCAAAGTAAAGGAGAATTTAAGGATGAAGATGTTAAAATTATGACTGATAAACTAGTAACTTCAATACACTTTTCTTTTTCTTTTACTTTAAATATTTTAATCATTGATATTAACACAATAATTATTAATTTTTTGTTTAGTAGATGGAACATGAGAAGCAGATAAAAGAAGGACAAGTAAATGTTGAACTAGGAACGGATGCCATGACCTTAGTTTTTGGAAAGGAAAAGGGTGGATTTTTAAAGGGTGTCGGCACGGGAGTCACATACAATAGATATTTCAATGTTCCTCGCAGCAAAGGGTCATCTAAGGAAGAAATTAAAGATCTTAAAGTTGCACTGCATAATGGAAAACTTGAGCTTGAGAAAAAAGATGTTGAACTCAAGGCTTTGTCTACAAAGGTTAATGAACAAGATCAAACACTAAAGCTAGTTTTGGCTCATCTTAATGCAAAAGGAGCTGACTTTCCAAATCTGTCTCATACAATTGTAAGTAATCTTATTGAAAATATTTGTTGTCAATGTTAGTTCTAAATTGCATTTCTTTTAAACATTTTTCATGTTTCTTTATATTTTCTAGGGTATTTCAAGTGAGAAGATTGTACAGAGTAATGAAACGTCTCCTGTTAGTCTCAAAACCATTGAACCTTCAGAACCTGTAACACTAGTATGTTATTGTCTTATTAGATCAACGTTGATATATATATATATATATATATATATATATATATATATATATATATATATATATATATATGTTTGTTTGATATTGATATCTGATTTTTCATGTTGGACTTTATATTATGTAGGTTATTCCAAAACCCAACAAAAACCTGTTCAAACGAAATCTACAACTGCAGCACCCGATGCAAAATTGATTTCCATGAAATCTGCAACAGTAGTATATACTAACTTTACAGTTTTCAATAGTTTTATTTAATCTTTTTTTATTAAAATATATGTTTAAATATGTCTTAAATCTTGATATCAGGCAAATACAAAAACCACCAACAAAACTGTTGAGTCTAAGACTACCACTATCAATCAAAACATACCAAAAGTTTCACCAAATAATCCCATTCACCAGGTCAGTGTTTTTTTACATGATGAATATACATTTCTGTTTTTTTTTTCAGATTATAACATTACTTGTCATTGTAGCCAATCAAGTGTAGTCTATCATATCCGTATAAAAGGAACATCGGCACCATTCACTTATCATCAGAAAGATAATTCATTCATGGAGTTCCTCTACAAGATGATTGCTATAAAGTTTCCATTGATAAAGTGGTTGTAAAAACTGCATTTCTACCCCATCAAACTGGAGAATTCAAATTAGTTGAGGATGCATATAAAAGTTTTGTTCCATGGAAAAAATACCTTGTGTAAACCGAGTCAGAGGTTTGTTTCAATATGTCCAATACTTTTTGCATTAAATTTTATTTTCTTCATAAAGTACTATACTAAGTTTATGATGAATTAATTTTATTGGTTTCAATGTTGTTATAGGTACCAAAAATTATATCACATCAAAAATCAACAAAAAGGAAACCTACTTACATATCATCTGATGCCTTTCTGAAGAAGACAAGGAGCAATACAAATAAAAAGAATGCCTAGCTATTTATGTTTAGGTTTTGGTTTATGATATGTTTGATTTTTTAACCGTTATATAAATTCTTTAAATTACGCAAATTTTCCTTTCTTTTATATTTTAATTAGGAATGTAATGTATATATGAATTTCGATTTCAATTATTATTAATATAAAATTACAAATTTTGTTTGTGTTTCATATTGTTGTGTTTCGTTACTTTAATTTAAAGTATTTTCATGTGTCTAAAATGTATAAAAAGTAACAGTAAATAGTAAGTTATAGTGGCTGTAGTATGATTTTTGCCATGTTATATACGTTTTTAATGTCTCTAAAAATATACAATGGTTAGTTTACATCAATTTGTAACGTGTGGTTAAATGGTTAACAATAGTCATAATATACAAGAATTATGAGACTACAATTGATTTAAAGTGATGTTTATTAAAAAAAATTGTCACCAAGTTAAACAATAACAACATGGAAAACAATATATGTGGCAAATAAATACCATAATTGATTGTTGTTGAGACTAAATACTAGGAAATCATCACATAGATCATTAACTATATGTGTCCATTTACCAAACACGGACATGTTTCTCGTAAATTATATGTGTCTAGAATATACCCAATAGTCTTAATACGATACCGAATTGTCCTTAATTTTAACAAAATGTGTGACTTTATAATACTTATGATTTTAATTCACTTCTTCGCTTGTCTCTATACGTTAGGTTATAGTCACAAACGCTGATTGTTTTTTGTGACTAATAATTAGCAATTCGTCACATATGAAAGTAAAGTACTTGTGGCCATTTAGCAAACATGGTCACACTAGCCATAATTAAAAGTTTACAAAAGATACACAATAGTCTTAATAAAATTTAAGTTGTGTGACCATATGTAAGAAAACAACTACACTAAAACATCATGAATGTCGCATTTTGGTGATATAGAGTCACAACGTTAAATAACTATGTGTGACTAATAACTATTTAATGCTACAATATTGGATATTTAAGGAACAAAATTCCATACACATTTGCCACACTTTTATACTACGGCCACATGTTTTCATAGCATACATACACTACATTTTAAAGTAATCATAAGACCCATACGATAGCGTCACCTTCCGTCACACTTTCAGTGAAAAAATAAAATGTCACTATACGCATATAGTCACACTTTTTTGGTGTGACTGTAAGTCATTTTTCTTGTAGTGCGGATACGATCGTCTTATAAAAGATTACTTTGCAAATGACATCGTCTACATGTTAACCTTTTAAACTTTTCCAAAATTATGGTTTAAGAATCATGTTAACTTTTTTTTAATATTCCACAACTAAGCTAGAGACATATGTTATCATCGGCATTAGTGTGATATGCTTGTTTCTAGGGCTGTAAACGAACCGAACGTTCAGTGAACTGTTCGTGAACCGTTTGACAGGAAGTTCGCTTATGTTTGTTTATTTAGTAAATGAACAAACATGAACACAAATTATCCTTCATTTAGTAAAATGAATGAACATGAACATCGGACTCGTTCATTTAATTATGTTTATGAACGTTCGTTTATGTTTTTTTATGTCCGTTCATATAAGTTCCTTTTAAATTCATATATGTTTAATTGTATTTAATTACATTATTATATTATATGTTCATTTATGTCAATATATGTTCAAATTATGTTTGTTTATCTTTGTTTAGCATGTTCACGAACATAAACGAACGAACATGAACAATACAATTTATTAAATGAACGAGCATGAACAAGAAAACTCGTTTGTTTTCCGTTCGTGTTCGTTCATTTGTTCTGCTAACTTAAACGAACGAACATAAACAAGCCATGTTCGTGTTCATTCGGTTCGTTTACAGTCCTACTTGTTTCTATCGTGTAGTGGAATATATGATTATACTCGTTCACAATCCAATGCAACTCAATTATTTATTAAAAAGCTTATTTCTCTCTTTTTTCATATCTAAAACTCAATTAAACCTAATATTTTACTCTCATTAGCAATCCAATCCAACCCAATCAAATTTTTATATATAAAAAAATACAGAAAAAACTATATTAACATAGGTATCATTTTATAGAGAAAAATTAGTCACCTGCTATGATATATTTTATTTAATTTTATTTAATTTTATACTTAAAATCAAATACAGTTATTAACAAAATTAAATTAATTAGAAAAAATTATTTAACCCCACTAATGAATGACGGACACGTAGGTGTATTTGATTTTAAAACGTGTCGAGCCTTTGTGAGCATGGATCGTTCCTCCAGCTAGATCACCAAAACTCTTTTATATTTTTATTAAAAATTGATGAGCTGCTCGTTCAAATGACCCCGATGGGGGTAGTCTAAGGATCAGTCCTCGTTACGCAAGAGCGGAATGGAACATGTACAGGACTAGGAGGTAATGCACACATGAGTAGTTGGCAGAGTTTTGTTGTCAGTTGTATGCTTAAGAAGCTTCGGAAACTCAAGGCAATCTATAAAATATAGTAATGTACTCAAATTTTGCTACCAATATGGGCATTGTACTTTATATTCTATATTTTCCCTAAAAAAAACTTCTGCAATTATTTATGCCACATGGGCTTCAAGCTAAGAAAACCAACAAAGTTCTTAATATTCAATACCTTGAGGTAGATTCTAATTGTGATCAACAAACAAGTTTCATTTAGCTTTCACTTTTAAGAAAATGGCAATTGGGATAAATGGTCCCAAAAGTTTTTTTTTATTTTTTAAATAACATATTCTTGATGGATAAGGGTAGATATTGTAACCTTTTTAGCATGCACAATTGCATCCAACAAATAATGTCAATACGATAATAATAGAAAATATGTTCTTTTTTTTTTTTTGTTTCTTCAAGTGACTTTTCTTAAATCTTCTAGTTTGGGTATTTCTTCATGCGGGGTTAGAATGAAGCTAACAGTTTCGAATGGTTGACTTTTTAAGATTGTTCGTAATTCAGAATTGTTAGAGACCATGGGTTCTTTTCAAAGGTGTTATACTTTGATTTTTTTTTCTATGTTGTGGTAAGTCTTCATATTGTAACAAATCTTTCCTCAAATCCTCTTCTTTTGCTTGCAGTTTTCTAAATTAACTGCATCAAAATGGCACTCAGTGAAAATCCTGAACCGTTCCTATAGTTGGTATGTACTTGACCCGATAGTAGCATGGTCTATTTTGGGTTGCCTTCACCAGAACCAATATGATATGATGGATATTTGAGAAAGAGATTAGTTGTGATTTATTAGTATATTATAAGTATAATATATTGACTGATAAAGCATATTATTTAATTAGTATTGATCAAGAATTAGTTTGGAATCAATTTAGTGATCAATAGTGTTCGATTAAATTAACAGTGATTGATTATGTAAATCATTGATAAATATGGTTTGGGCTAAAGATCCATGATTGGTTTGAGTTTGATTAAGCTTATGTGAAAGTCCATTAAGTGTTAGTGAAAATGAGTTGTTTGATCATAAGACTAAGTGTAAGAATTAGGGTTTAAATATGACTCTTGGAATTATACACTATATTGTAACCCTTTAAGCCCTAAAATCAGATATATACTAGCATTCTAAGCAAGAGCATAGCCGATTTTAGGTGTCTCCTAAAACTCTCTCATATTCATCTAATTGTTATTGGTGTTTGTGACTTGTTTTAGGCATCACACTTGGGGTGCTAAGCTCTTATAAGGCCAAGTTCTACAAGCTACATCAAAAGGTAATCTTCTAACTAGTTTTTATGATACATATATCAAAGTTGCATGATAGTTAGGCTTAATGCTTTGAAAAAAGAATATACATGTATAATTAGAGAAAACTTAGATCCAAAGTATTAGGGTTGTATGTGCACCATTGGGATGTTAGAGTACAGAAAACCCATCAGTGGTATTAGAGTCATGGTTGTTTTCTGTTATATAAATGCAATTATATTGTTTTCAAAGTCAAAAAATTATAATTTTTGCTGTCTGACTACTGTACTCGACGAGTCCCATGAGTCGACTCAACGATTTGACTCATACTATCATGAACTCGACAAGTCCATTGCCTGGCTCAACGAGTTGGATCATCTGTTAGTAGAATTTTCGAGTTTTGTTTTGCATGTTTTGGATTAGGATCATTACCACAAACTGTTTTGGTTCCTAAAATTCATTTTTAATGATATGGTAATGGTTATCCTCATCTAATAACATGATGATTGTCAAATTTTAAGATAATTACTTGATTTTGTGATAAACTAATCATTTGTAGAATTTGAAATTATTTTGTTATATGAGTAGTATTAGGTCAAATTGGTAAATGATAAATTATATGATTATTTTTGTTAGTTAAATTTGATCTAAATGTTTCTTGAAAAGTCTCATTCATGAAACTTTAACTCCTTAAGTTATGAAATTCAAAAGGTATTGAAAAGTTTCATAACTTTCCCTCAAGTTTTAGAATTTGGAAAGTTTCATTTGTGTAACCTAAAATTCTCAAACTCAAGAGTTTTTGAAAAGTTTCAAAACTTGCCCTCAAGTTTTGAAATTTGAAGAGTCACATTTATTAAACTTTAATTCCAAACCATATAATTTTAAAAGTTTAAAATTCAACCCTATATTATTGTAA